CTTAGCTCATCTTTTTTTTTTTTTTTTTTTGTGGGAATAGGTCCAAGAAAGGGTTGATTTCACAGCACTCAGCTATATGACTTCATTCCTGGCCGAAGATGATCCTATATGTTGTGCGTGCATACACTATTTTCTGATACTATTATTGAATTCTAATTTTCTGGTTAGGGGTCCCCACCGAATTGCTAAATATATGTGTGGACGTTGAACAACTCCGTCGAAAAGTCTTAAGTTGTTATGTAGAATGAACCTTCATTTGAATTTAGGGTTTATAAATAAGTGATGTTGAAATTTGAACTCAGTCCCTTTGACTATTCTAAAGAATAGAACTGTAATAAAAAAAATTTACTCTAGTTAATTTAGTTTAGATCTTGTTCTTCAAATGTCTAGAGAACATTGGTTTGGATTACAAATATAGGGAAAAATCTCCATTTCATGTTGGATTGCTAAAAACATATATTTTACATTGGCTTGCACGAGCTAGTGTCAGATTCCATATTAGGCAGGTTCCTTTTTTTCTTTTTCTTTTTTTTGGGAAGCTATTCCACAAAGTGTAAGTTCAAAAGCAACCTAATCTGCCAAATTTTTATTCTTTCCTTGCTTTGTTACTGATCAAGAAACTATAGAGGAACCGCTCCCAGTGCATATCCTAGTGGTGCAAAGGATAAGGACGAAGTATACTCAGCCTTGCCGACAGTCGCAGTGTGAAGGTTCGATTCTTGAAATATGGATTGAGACTATTTGTGGGCACCAATGTACAGGCAGCTCTTGTTTTCTACTCTGTTAGGACACATCTCGCGATTAACTTCTCTCATAATACTCCAATGGCGAGGCGGTGGGAGACCCTTAAGGTTGGGGTTCAACCTTTTTTTTTAAAGAAACTACAGAGGAACCAAATCAATTTCTTCTTCAGTAAGTTAGATTCAAGCAAAGACCATCTTTGATCATTATCTTACTTGTACAGTTACATCCAACTACTAAGAGAAGAAGTAGCTAGGTTGATGAGTGATCGATTTTGACGACCCAAAATCAGATATTCTTTGTATGGTTCGGCTTTGTTTGAGTTTTACGTCGTTTTTCTTGTTGGGTTCTTTAGTATCACTATAGCTCAATTCCAGCTATTACCAATAAAATGTATAGGGGTTATAAGCTATTTTACTATATTTGTAATTAGAGACAAAAATCAAGTTTTTGTAAAGCAAGTGCCTACTTATTTTCTTCCTGTAGCCACTTAAATTGAAATTGCAAGTGCCAAGAATATTGTTGACCAAGTATTTGTCCTTCTATTTGCTGTTGAGATTTGATGTGGTTTTCAAGATGGTGAGGGGATTCTTGTACATCCAAAAGATATGATATCCTATCTTGGCAAATTACAATTGTACTATGATAATAATGCATTATATTGGGCATCATTCCACGAAATCTGGCTAAAGAACACAGTGTAGTTTTGTCTAATATCGTAATTCGAGACTCAAGCTTTCTCGAGTAGCGATATAAATTTGTTCATGTGGGGTACAATTAATGAAACTTTGGTTATAGAGTTCACTGGTACCTGCAGTAATAAAAATCGTTATGATTTTTAGATTTATGCAAAAATTTAATTTCGAATAAAGAGAAGTTTATTAAGAAATTTTGAATGCAATTAACAAATTAAATCCATTTAAATATCTATAAATTGAGGTGTAACGTCTGATTTTGTGCTTTTACATAGACAGTAAAGAATGACTTGATATCAAATACTAAAGTTGTCTGTGGACTGAGAAAGTCGTAGCGGATATCATAAAAGAGTCTATAAATTATGATGTTCGCAAATCTTCAAGCAAACCATTATTATTAAACCCAATATGAATACAACAATGACCAACACAATGAAATTTTAATATATAAAGCCTAAAAGTCTTGTCTAGCGTCCTAGATTCCTAGCACTAAAATATACCAATATGAAATGAATATGATAATATGCTTTTGTGTATTAAATATACTAGTGGAATAGTCGAGTTTGACAACATATTATGTAATTACGAGGATCATACAACATAATAATGAGAATGTAGAGCAGTGTGAAAGGATAATGTACATTATTATTCTACATCTAAGATATATAGTTATTAATCTAATTCCTACTTTCGTTATAGTGAAATGAGATTTAATATACTATTAGAGCATCTTCAATATATTTTATGGCATCAGTTAAGGTAAAATTTAAACTGAAAGACTTACAATCTACATGATACAGACAATTTAATTCAAATTTCATCTTCATCTGATTCTCTTTATAATTTAAATTTTGTTTTTGATATTTATTTAATTGGAGAGAGGGGGGGGGGGCGACAAACAAACATAGGGAGGGAGGGAGAGAGAGAGAGAGAGAGAGAGAGAGAGAGGAAAATGAAAAGGGGATAGAAAAAGATAGGGAAGTATTAAGAGCCTGTTTGAGAGTAATTTTGAGAATTAATTTTTTGATCGTTAGGAAAAAAGTGGGTCTACCTGTGAGAGAAGAAGTCAAATATGACGGCTGAAATAGTGAAATAACGGTAAAAAAAAAATCAATTTTTTGAGTGATAAAAAAGGTCCTAAATTTTGGTGACACTCTCGATATAGATGGTCCTCGTCGAGATGACTTTTGACAATGTCTACATTTTCTTTTCTTTTTTTCCCCTCTCTTTATCTAGACATAGTCTTGAACATATTGCACTGAAAATGAATTTTTGTCAACATTGTCTATTTTAGCTTATATGACAATATTTTTAGTACAATCCGCATAAGCATTAGATATATTCTTACAAATGAGTGTCTTTTAATCTACCCAAAACATCTTCCAGCCACTTATTAAGCCGTCTTGTAGAATTTTTTAATTTTATTATCTCACAAAATTCTTGTAACCTGTCTCTATTTTTGTGCATTATATTCCTTCCACAAATATGTTGCAGAATGGTTCAGATCCAGGGCCGAGGTGGCATGACCTCGGCCCTCGATCTTGCAGCACATTGGGCTCGCAATTTCAAATCAGGGTCACCTCGGCTCTTGGCTCCAAACACGGGCTTTAATTCCGGGATGAGAAGCATTATTCTTCCTTCCAGGGACATGTTTCATTAATAATCGAACCTAAATTTCTCAAAATTATTATTTTATGATCGAAGCGAAAAAGTGAGAACTTGAGTCCCTACTTCTGTACATGTCTATGGTGATTGAAAATTCTTTACTGTTATTGTCTGTACATCTTTTTTTGCTTTTTCATCGTGTTGATTTTTGGATTCAATAAAAGCCCTTGTGTCATATCAAGTTATCATGTTGCAAGACTTGTTTATGGTCCATTTTCATTTGTTTTCAGAGGCTAACAAATATTTATGGTTGTCATTTCTCAATATCTTTTTCCTGTTTTAGAATATAATTAATGTCAATATTCTTTGAGGCATTCATGCCAAATTTAGGAAAGGCAATTGTTTTTCAACATAATTCACTACTTTCATTATTCTTTACGAGAAAATCTAACATATATATACAAGTTGTAATGAATCCATATATTCTCATTTCGAGTGATTAGTGTTTTGCTTTTGAGATACAGAAATCTTTAACGATACCCATTATTATGAATAGAAAAAAAATAAAATTGTTTAGCAGTGCTTAACATCCACTACTTGAAAGACTTATGTCGGACCATAACCCTTGACAACATTATATCATTTTCATTTAATTAATCTTAACCACAACTTTGTCTTAATACAATGATTGTTTCTGCCCAAAATCTCTAAAATGGATGGTCAGTTTAAAGTTTCCTTGTTCGCCATCGACCAATACTACGAGCAAAATTACTCACTATAACTATTAGATTAGATATAATTGAACATGATTAAAGCAACGTAATATAAAATAGTTTTCATATTATCGTATAGTGCACGATAACTATACTGATAAAAATTATTTTAACTTCTGTTTGATACTTAATATTATTATTAAACTATCTTATCTAACTTGTTAAACATATTATTTGTGGTTTTCCTTATTCAACAAATTTTTGTTCGTGTGCAACTTGAATTCAAGCAACTAGGGGAAAACAAAAGGCCTTGGTACACGAATTGCACTAGCAATACAATGTCAACCATGAACGTGAACACATATAATTAGTAGCTTTTGATTGGCTGCACAATTAGGATTTTGAATCAATTTAAATTCTGTGCAATATCGTGTAATTTTGAATAATATCGTACATTTTTTGTACGCTTTCATATAATTTCGTTCAATTTCATGCATTTTTATCCAATTGCATACAATTTCGTATATTGGTGCACAATATCGTACATATTGTAAATGTGAGTATAAGTAACACAAAAATTATGTGTTGATAGGTCAAAAAATGTTGGGCAAAACTGTGAAAATGTCAAAATGGAGGCCAATTCTATTCTTAGCTTTAGTAGCATTTGACTATGATGTTGACGTCATTCCTCGGCCTCTTTGTGACCGTAGAATACTGTTGAACATGGTGCTTACAAGAATTGAATGATCGGTATTTGTTAGGAATTAATAAAGTGCGTTAGTACAATTATATATTTTTTGTTTGACGCACCATTTGTCTAATGCGCGCAATTATGTGTTACATATTGGCATATACACAAGAATATATTAATTCTGGTGAAATAAAGAGAATAACGTCGTTGAAGTTACGTACTATAAATTCTTAACGTAAGATGAAAATGAGAGAAATTGAAACCTAAGAAGAAACTACATATGATGAGAATAAGAGCTTGTTTTACTAAGTTGGAAAATAAAGTTACTTTTTTTAAAGTTTTTCTCTTGTTTTTAAATATGTTTGAATAATTTATTTTTTTAACTTTTAAGTATTAGAAAAATCATTATTCTCAAAAAAAATAAAAAATAATTTATTGACAACTTATAAGTAAATTTACAAAAAATTAAACTTTTGAGAAATCCTTATTATGTTCCCCTTAATGCTTACATTATGCTGATTATGTCCTTCTGTCCCTAGCTAACTTTTACAGTAAGCCTTTAATTTCTTATGATGCATTATGCTCATTTTGTCAAACATGTTTTGCTTAATTTTTTAATCTTGTTTGTCGAGGAAAACTAGGTTTTTCTTACTTATAATATTTAGGTGCATTGAGTGAATTAATTAGTGCCTTAGATTAAATATTCTTCAACTAGAATCATTAATAAGGAATCCACCAAATGCAAGAGCTACTAGATATTCAAGTTCTCCAAAATTGATGTCAAGGTAGAAATATAATATTGCAGTTTCAATATTACAATTGATACACACCTTAAAGAGTATAGTATGTTAAATAGATAATAGTCTCTATAAATTAAAAGCATTCAAAACATATAAATCAATTAATTACTTGAGAATCAATATTTATTAATTTATTATAAAGATATTGAATGTGCATTGTATTTCTTCCATTTTGAATGTCCATTTCACTATGCCTCCATTTGATTCCAATATTTTAAAACTTTTTTTTTTTAAAATTCATTTTCAATTACACGTTTTATGAGATTCATAACTTTTATCCACTTTTCAATTATAATTTTCATCAACTTTTATAAAAATCGAGTAAAATTTTGATTTTTATCCAAACCAATTAGGGGTTAGGTTTGATATTGTTACGTTTAGAAAATAAATTAATTAATTTTTGTTAATTATTAAGACATGGATGCAATAAATTTGGAAGTCAAACTTTAAGAAAGCATCTAGTTCAAACATGTTCGACAAACAACATTAGAGGTGACAAAAGGGCCAAATAACTCCTTTGCTCAGCTCGTCAAAGCTCGGCCCACGAATGACTTAGACTTGTTTCGGGACAAGCTTGAGCACCAGCCAAGCAGGGTGAGCCTAAAGTTCACGAGCCTATAAAAAATGTGAACAAAAAATTAAACACGAGCTTGTGGTTCAAGCTTAGCTTACCCATTGCCATCCTTAGAAAACATCAAGGTACGTAGTGAGTTTAAACCGTTTTTAAGAAACTAAGTCCCTGTTTCTCGCTCATTATTTCACATTTTATCACATTATTTTTTCTACAGTATTCATTTTTAACCACATTCTTCATTAAAATAATATTAATGCAAATAAAAAAATTTCCTTCTTTTTAAATATACACTCTCCATCAATCTACTATTCTATAATATATTTTTCAAAATTAAAGGGGCTCAAACACACCCAACAGCACAAAAGACAAAAATTGGATTAATGAAGGTCATGTCTAATTCTTGATATTAAGTCTCAATTTGGTACAAATTAAAATCCAAATTTCAATTTAAGTCAAAGCCAACAACTAATTTTAATCATACATTTTTTGGGACCACACATTTTAACAACTTTAATTAAAATTTATTAAAATTTGATTTTTATCCCCTCCAAATAGGGCTTAAGAATGATGTGACATTGTACCAAACATCCTATTCTGTGAACCCTAGAAATCTTTGGACTCTAATAAGGTTTGTAATGAACTATCCACATCTTCAATAACATGAATAGACATTGAGACCACTTAATTTTCAGTGTCTTTCACGTGACTAGATAAGGGATACAATGTGCTCAAATTGAATTTATGCTTAGAAAGTTCCCTTAAAAAATGGCTTTTAGAGCACGCATGTTTTTCTTTCAAGACTTTCGGTGCCACTCTTTATATATCTATTTATCTATGTATATAAATGTGCACATACACTCTAAGATCAAGTCTGACTAGCACTCCTTTAGAAAGTATCTGATATTGAGGAAAAAAAAAAAGAGTGATTTATGTGTAAATAGATTATCAATTAACATTAAAATATAATTCAACAATAATATAAGCATAAGAAGGGAGTTAGAAAGTAAGATTTAGGGAATCACATTAAAAATGTTGTTCTAAAATCGTGTTGCCTCCTCTTTGTATGAATATTTTCGACACTATGGGTCTCTAAAATAAAATTCATATAGCTCATAACTGATTCTTCTATGAGCATGATAACAGAAGGATAAAGGACGGATTTTTATTAAATTGTCAAAAGTATAAGAATATAATATGAAAATATAGCCATTCAACACTCACAATTAATCCATTCAAAATAAGTTACACTTAAAAATTAAGGGTTTTAAGTTTATATCAAACATTATTTCAAAATCAAAATTCAAAATTCAAAAGGTTTTAATTTTAAAATTTAAAACTTTTATTTTTATGTTACAACAATTCCCACAAGTCTTAAATTATCAACATAGATAACTTATAATAGTGACAACGTTATAATGTATAATAGGTGTATATGTCTTTCGAATTTTAACATTACCTGATGATCATACACTCTTATTTTGACTATACTTAGAATCTACAGGGAATAGCTTGATCCCATAGTCACGACTTCATGAAAACTCTTATATTGGTGAGTTCTCAAAGGGTGCATGCATCCGCACCTTATGAGAATTCTCGCAATTGTACTCATTCAAGGTTTAACCCTTCATGTCGTCACATCATTAGTGTTATCACCATAAGGATGAAAACAAATAAAAAAGTTCTATTACGAGCTATTTCTATTACATTAAACTTTCTTCATGAAATCACCAATAATCACAAAGATCGGATTACTCCCAAAGATGACTCTCTTATGAGTTTAAGGCACATCCTTCTCAATGATTTATTTATGTCAACCATGGATTTCAATTTATTCATGTCCTTTTTGAACAATAATATAGTACCATCAATTTGCAAAATTTTTATTCTCCATCTCCACATTTGCTAAGTTTTCTAAGAAATTTTTGAAATATTAGTATCACATATTTAAGTATAATAAAATAAACACATGAAATTTCTAATATTGATATTTTAGAATATGCATCCATTCAACTCTAATATTTCATGTGCAGGTCTAATACTTTTCAAGAGTCAGTTATACATCTAATAATAATAATAATAATAATAATAATAATAATAATAATAATAAGTGTATCTACCTGAAATTTTAAACCTCCAAATTCCAAAGATATTCGGCTTGAATTAAGTAAATATATGATCTTCACTATTGCAATTTATCTTCATACCGCATACTTACATTTTAGAAATTAGACTAACTGGGAAGGTCTTACTTTGTAGAGTTTACTTGGATCCAAAACCTTGAAGGCAAGTCAATCAATATCTTTACTATACAATTCTAAAAAAGGTTGAACCCCAACCTTAAGGGCCCCCACCGACCCTGCTCTGGGCCATCGTGGAGGAGGTAAATCGCAGGATGTGCCTCCCAGGAGTCAGGGTGGAGAGCACATGGATAGGCCAAGGTTGTTAACCCATATAGTAACTCCCGCTTGCAACAAAGCCAATTCCACCTTGCGGGGAATCGAACCCTGCACACTGCCGCGCTGAGCCCTATCCGCCCTCCCCTTTGCCACTGAGAGATATGCCCTGGGGGCGTTTACTATACAATTCTAATTTTTATCATGAGTTAAATGTATATTTTGCTTTCTTACACCATATATAATCATCAATATGTCACTCCCTTCTCTCTCTCTCTCTCTCTCTCTCTCTCTCTCTCTCTAGTTACTAATTTTATATGTAAAGCCTATTAATATATAGATCAACTGATATGAAATAAAAATATCTCCAACATTAGAGTGTCAATTAAAAATATCTCCAATTTTCTAACATCAATTATTTAAGTGTTAGTTACAATATTTTATACTAGCTAAATATACAACTTCTCTTTGAAATATTGGCTCATAATTTTATTACCAATTGACTAATTAAGTAAATAAAATTTAAAATGAACAGCATGTTTTAGCATAATTTGTTCAATAAATTTCTATTTCCACACATATGCACGTAGGTAATTTCATAATATCGTTAACAAACTTATATCACGATCAATGATTTACCTTGACATAAAAATAATTGCAAAAAAGACAAAATTATTACATGCAAGGAACACAAGAAAATACCACTAATGATTGCATAAATCACATAATCTTACCTTCAACTTCGAGCAAATCAATTTGAAAAATATATTTCCTTTTAGCTGTCTTCAAGTAATCAACAACTTGTAATCAAATGGTAAATAATGACAGTCTGTATGTGAAAACATATGTCCGTGTACACCTCCTCTTTGCTTCTGGAGACAAAAAATCAATTGCATAGTTATATTATGAAAAGAGGTCTAAACGATGTGAATACTTCATTGTGCACATTACACAGTCGTGTGGATCTTAGGATAAATACTAAATAATTAATACACGATACCATTCAGGAGATGTATACTCAAATCTTTTTTCATGAGTTTTTCCAATTTGCTAATTTTTAATTAATTCTCATTTTGAAAATTTCTTTTGGCCATTACATGTCAAAGCTTTGCTTATTGAAATGGAGTTAAATGCCCTTGCAATAAGCATAGGTCACATGACCTCTCCACTATGACTTGCCTATGACGTGTCCTACATATCGTTTTAGTCATGTATTTGTAATCATTTATGCATTCAAAAAAAATTAAGAAACGGGAAGAAAAACAAAACACCACCTGTTTAGTAGAGGCACCACAAGCAACCGGAATTATTTACATAAAAACACCATACGAAAAATGAGCGGTTTGTATGTAGATAAATTATCAATTAAGACAACAAATTTAATAACATAAAAATATAATTCAAAAATAATGTAAACATAAGAAGAAAGCGAAAAAACAAGTATTAGTAAGTCACGTCAAGGACGTTGTTTTAAAGTTCGTGTTGCCTCTCTTCGTGCAAATATTTTCGACACTACATAGCTCACAACAGACTCTTTGTTTATAGGCACGATCATAGGAGATAAAAAAAGAGTCATTATCGAGTTGTCAAAAATATAATAATATAGTATGAAAATATAGAAAGTGTTCTATGGAGTTGTATTTTCATGGTTATGACTATAGCCATCACTCCATTTTACAGGGATATATTCAACCCTCACAATTGATCTATTCAAAATAAGGTTACACTTAAAAATTACGAGTTTTAATTTTTTATTAAATCTGATTTTAAAATCAAAACCGAAAATTAAAAAGGTTCTAATTTTGAATTGTAAAACTTTTGTTTTTTTATGTTACTAAGCTTCAAACTATCCAAAAATCAACTATAATTTGCCAAGCTAGAAAGTTCCAACTTGAGGCATGAAAGGAGAAGAACGAGCTAAATCGATGCTACATAGTGTGCTAAGCTTAACATAGAGTACCATATAAACCCCATGCGTGTGCAACATGCACAACCAAGTCAATCTTCACTACATCCAAAAACTTCAATAAGTAATAGTACTAGAAACTCTAATAAATACGTTTAAAATATTCTTTTGAAAATCATTTCGAGCGAACAAGTTACAACATTTCTTTAATAATTAAGAGAGAGCAAAACAATATATAAAAATTGCAAAACCAACTTATAGAAGAGTTTCTTTTTATTCTTACTTTTCATTCTTCGTCCTTGGCCAAAAAAAGGGGGGAAAAGGAGAATTGTTCATGGAGTCACATTTATAAAGATATGAGTGGGAGACATGATAGGACCCCTAAAAGTGGAAGAAAAATATCCAATTTGGGAGGTTCAAATCATATCATACATATATTAACCACATACACATAATAAGGCATATCAAGAATTTGTCGGTAAATATGGGGCCGTTGCTATTGAATGAGTTATGACTACAACTTGAGGGTTAATATCACGACAGGTGGTTGGATTCCAAGGTGCTATCCTATTATCAATGATTAACAGGCTGCCCTGTTGAAGAACGACCAAAGATATGGTCTATGATTCTTGTGTGTATTTGCAGTTATGGAACTTGGATCATCAAATATTAAGCAATTCAAATAAATTTTGGCTCGGGACGTTCTAGTTTTCTGTATATTTTATGGAAGTAACGGTAGAATTATCGCGAAAATGAGGGATTGGGTGGAAAACGAAAATTTCTTGAGCACGATTAGATCTTCGCCTTAATAAATTTCTCATTGGACGAGTACCCGTACACCACCAGCATATTCTCTTCATTTCCTAAAGAACATGTTCAGCATGCACCATTAGACAACAGCCCACAGAACAATAAAAAAGATTTTAACTTTTTTTTTCTTCCTCGATGATAATATACAATGTTGTCCAACGCTGCACCACCAAATATGCCACAAAACAAAAAGAAGAGCTTTACATTCCATTTTTCAGTGCACATTACATAAAAAGATTATAGATAGCACGTTTGGGTCATGTGTTCATTCATACATGAATTATACAGAACATGATAAGCGAACACAACATTCAGGAAAACATCTGAAGGTACATTTCCACATTTTATAGAAGAATTATTTAACATGTCGTCTAGTTGACTCTACTCCACTACAGCAGCAAAAAGCTCCTCGAGAAAACCACCTCGAGTTCCAACAGGTGGAAAATTTTCCAAAATAAAACTGAGAACTAACTCAAAACTGGGAATCCAATTATGATGGAGCAGCAGTTGACGACTTCACCTTCTTTGGTGCAGGATTACCTCCAGATAATACCACGTAAAAATAGAAGCACAGCATTGCAGCACTGCCACGTAGTAATGCAAAAGAAAAACTCGTTAAAAGAAGGATAAAGCATAAATTGTCGAATGTCCAACAAGAAATGCAATGGCGACATCATAATATACCTGATGCTAGCATTAAAGCCTGCTGGGAAGATTTTCCTGGTCTGCAACCATGTTAACATTTTTCAGTTAATTATGGAATATACGAGGTAGAAGTTAGAATGATATAATCTCGACATGTCATGTATTACCAATGTATAGGTCTGAAAATTCTTCCACAATAGGGAGGCAGAGAGTACTGCATAGTGAGAAGGAAAAATATTAAAAATTACTACTCAAAAAAAGAGAAACTAATTTAATGTCGAACATTCTACATGGATAATTCCTATTTAAAAATAAATAATTTCAACTAGTTTTTTCTCTAAATCTAATAACAAATAAGAATCGACATTTTATTACCTAAACAGATTAAAGTCTCCCTTTTGTCCCTTTTTTTCTCGGGATGCACATCACATTGGATCATTAACTTAAAAAATTTGGAGCAGTTATTGTTTTCTTCATTTTTATGCATAAATGGAAGACTCTCACCCTCAGGACCATTAAAATTGTAGAACAGTTCAATCGGCATAAACAAAAAATCATATTTTACTTGCTCCATATAAGTGGACATGTGTGAGCTTGCTCGAGATTCCTAAAATTACTACAACCCGAATCCCAAGTGGTTTTGAGAATACAGCAACAAAGTTCGAATTTAATTTCTAATTTTGATAATCAGACAGCAGATCTCAAGAAACTAGGCATTATGTAACATATTTGGCTGAAAGTTGTTGATAGGCGAATATAAATATATGCAGCCTTGGCAGAGGGTACTGAAGATAGTAATGGTCCAAGTGAAGATTATTTTGATGTGCTAATTCAAAAAATAAATATGCCAAATTTACCAAAGATGCTAAATGGGTGATAGTAATCTATATTTGACAATGGAGCAATCAAAAAAAAAAAAAAAAATTCTCCTTCATTTTACTGCGATCCTTCCCTCTTCTATTCTTAAACTCTCATGTCATGATGTGTAGCACTCCAGCCAGAGAAATTTCATAATGCACATGGAGTCGCGGAACGATTTGGTTATTCCCCGGCTCCAAACGACATTCCTTAATTTTGATGTTAGAATTCGGCAGGATTCTACAATAGTTGCTAGGTGAACCAACCCATTCATTAACCTTTTAGGTGCTTGGGAGTTTTTTCCCACTAGTTTTGACCCTTTTTGGGTGACGCCATTTATGAGACGTAGAGAAAACCAATGCTTAATAGTTTTTAGGGCACCAAAAACCAAGATAGTATAATTTGGCTCGTATTTCTCAACCCACCGAATCGTTGGTTTTTGGTTGTTTTTCAAACTTTCTTCCAATTTTATCCTCTCTAAAATAATTATTTTACAAGAAAAAAATTCAATTATAAGCAAAAAAATTGCTTATAAATAGAAAACACAATAACTAAAAAATTAATTATAAGCAAAAAAATACCTTTATAACTCAAAAATTACTTATGAATAAAAACTCACTTATAAGACAAAAGTTCACTTTTACATTAATTAAAAAAAAATGAAAGTAGAAAATATTACTAATAAGACAAAAATTCACTTATAAAATATAAAAAGTTACAAATGTAAAATTAACTTATAAATAGAAAAAATTACTTATAAATTAAGAATTTAATTATAAGTAAATATGTTACTTTTCACGTTAAAAATTTACTTACATGTCAAAAATTACTTATTAAGTAAAATATCACTTATGAGTAAAAAAAAATTCATACAAGAAATTATAAATGAAAATTTCACTAAGTGATGTATACATTTGCTCAATATTGTTTGCACATACCTTTTCTACATATAGGCATATATGTAATTTTATTCATTTAAATTTTTTTTAGAACCAATGAATGATAAACTTTCAAGTATAGGTTGGACTATTTAAAAATACTACTAAAAACCACAAAAAATGGGACCCTCATAAATGCCGAAAAACAGTACTTTAATAAACCCCATAACTAGTATCCAAAACTCTCAAGCAAAGTTCCCAATTTTTCCTACGGATTCTGGCCTTCTTTTAGCTTTAAGGTTTTTCATTTTTATGTTGTGTTTTTTTACATTTATTTCTTTTCTTTTTTCTTATTTTATTTCTTCTTCTTCTTCTTATTAATATTTATGTTTACCTTTTCTGGGGTGGGGGTTCATAAGATGCTCAATAATTCAAAATAGTCATTAGGTAGACCTGTAATCAATAAGAAAGCATCTCTCCAGCTTATATAAATGCTACAGTGTGCCAATCACAAGATGAAGACAATATTCACTCTCCCTCTAATTATTTTCTATGAGACAGTTCAACAAGGTTGTGAGCAAATAATGGCATTGTATTCAAGTTTCACCACTAACGATAATACGTATTAGGCTTTGAATGAAATAATTGAATAAGATGGAATGTGAAAGTATGTGCTGAAGATAAAATATGATGAGGTAATTTGACATAGTATAAGAACACGCAAATGTCAAGTTTTAAGTTCTCATCATCACCCATGTATAAATATTACATGGTCAGACCTCCGCTAGAAAAGACTATTGCTTTTGACAAGGCATGTTCAAACAGAAAAAATGAAAGAAAGAAGATCTCCAGCTCTCTGATAGTTTTAAGCTTTTCGATGAGGTAGTTTAACGTTGTATCAAAGGAGATAATCAAGTCTCACTACCACGTATAAGAAAATTGCATGCATCAGGCCTTAGAAAATGAAATGACTCGTGCCACCTTGTGAGGGGCGTGATGGTAAAAAATAAAAAATAATTAAATCTTTTAGATGAGGTGATTCAAAATTGTATATAGTATTAAGTATGAAAAAAAGGAGATTTGACTATAGTAATATTCTATTTCAATTCGTGAAATTGCAATTTTTCGGATAATTGTCATTGAATCAACCAAAATTTGGAGATAAAGACATTTCATTGAAGACCTCGCATCAGACAAGTATAATCCTATAGTAAGTTAGCCAAATCAAACAGCATCCAATGATTCACAGATATCTCAAGTGGTCCAACAATAGAGTTAAGAAAAGGAGGACTGATGATGGAAAATCAGTGCATTCACCTGGTTTGCAATAAGCCAACTCGTTTAGACCCAATTTAAGAAATTAAATAAACTGCCAGTAGAAAGGACAATGCCCATCTCACACTTGAGCTGTACAGTAAGAAATCACAATATGGATGGTACTAATAGTTAAAACCATGCAGATACAGATTAATTTCCTACGACAATTGTTGTCTCGACAAAAGCAAACAAGGGCCAAGAGAGAAAAAAGAACATCATAATACATTAGAGAGAAGTACACCACTGGAGACTTGCAGCTACATTTCAGCAATTGGAAATTAACTAGAAGAAATGAACTTCTACTGGATGAAACACAAAAACCAGACATTATTATCATTTTTTAACAGGAAAAATGTAATTACCTGCTTGACCTAGTATGAACGGTAAGCTGGATTTTCCTTGTCTCCACACCTTCATGCTAACAGTGCTGAGGACCAATAGAGAAGCCCCAAAGAGAACAGCAGTACTTAAAGTAGCAAGGTTTCTGCTAAAAATAAAGCCAACAAGCCCTCCACCCAAAACAAGCCCACCTGCAGTAAATCAACAAAAAGGCATGCTTGAGTAGAAAGAATATTGTTGACTAAATACCAGTAAATAGTTAAGAAAGAAAAAATTGCAGTTCAGTCCATAATTTAATGGAAAAAACGACAAATCTACACTAATACTGGACGACCAGATCAATGTGTATCAGTTCAACCTTCCTGCATTTTATGCTTTGAAAAGATGAGACTCATCAGTTAGAATTCATATTAGAAAATGCTTTAACCATCTGAGCAAAGACTCAAGCGCACAAAGCATAGAGTATAACACACATTACCCATGAAGAAAATAAAATGGTACTCAATACAGAGTTTTTATTAATAAAAGATGACGAAAAATAAATGCAAGCACATTCATAAGAACACACGTATCGAGTTTCATTATTCTATTTAATTTGCTTATCTTTATTTTATAATTATTTGTTTGAGGAAAGGTGGGAGGTTGAGGTTTCAAAAGATGACTCATTTTTGGCATGGCAGTAGGGTCTAAAATTTATCTCAATGCATATTTAATGGATATATCAATAGCCTGAACACACTACAAATGAATGGTTAGTCCTAGATAAGCTAACATACGTTAATATCCACATCATCAAGTAAACTTAATGCATTCAATTAATCAATTTAAATAGTAATTTTGGTCTATTACTTCACAAAAAGTAACCACAGTAGTAGTCATATCGAGATTATTGAAAGGTTTGGAGCTAAATTTTTTAAGGTCATCGATGCTCAAGAGAAATGAAATATAAGCCAAAATAAGAGGCTGGATGTAGGAGAGCCCAAAACATCTTCAGTTGTCCTAAATTCTAAGCTTCATTAACAACTGGATCATAAAAAATATGCCAAATAATAAATGTAAGTCCTGTTTGAGCCTCATTCTACTAAAAATTCATTTTTTTCAAAACTTATTTTCAACCATACATTCTTCAATAAAATAATATTACATGTAAACCCAAAACTTTTCCTTAATTTTTGACCACACATTTTTCATCAATCCACTATTCAAAATGCATTCTTTTCCCAAAAATGGGGCTCAAACAAGGGCTTAATGTGCCCATTGGATGACTACAAAAAGTTTTTGGAATATCATTTTAGATGTAAAAATGAGAATTTGGAAATAGAACACCTGAAAAGGCTTCTGGTGCTAGGCCAAGGCATGGTTTTGAAAAACTATTGGAGGCTCGCGTCTTGAATCTCGCCTCAGGTGAGTTATCATAAAATGCCTCAAAACCAGCACCTTATATGCTATTTGTGAGGCTTAAGCCTCAAGCCTGAACCTCAAACAAACTAAGGTGTTCCCAAGTTTACCTTGCATTTTTCAAACATTTAATTATTGACCTTAGCTCTTTGAGTTATTTATTTATAACCTAAAATGATGTACAGGTTCTAGTATTTTTCTACCTACATGTAAGGAAAATACATTAAATTTGAGGATGATGACAAAGAATGAAAAGAAACTTGTAATCAGGTTGATGACAACGCGATTCCCTTAAAAAGATCAGCAATGATATGAGAAATTTTGAATTGTCTCCCCTTTTAGTAATAGATTAAAATTTTGTTAGATGATTAATATTTTTAAACTTATTATTTTCTACTTTCTTGATCTATTTTATGTTTATCTGCAAGTTAGACCTTTAATTTTGTAATTATTTTATTTTGGATATTTTTAAAAGGGTTTATGAATACAAATGAAGGCAGGGAGTAGCACTAGTCCTATCCAATAGTGAAATCCTGCAAATAAAGCAAAAAGGCTCCCACAGAAAGTACATAATGGAAATATGCAACCACATAACAAGTTACTGCTCTATACTGAGGCTTACACCTCAAGGCTTATGCCTCGCCTCATAGCAATAAAACACCTTAGTGCCCAATGAAGCATTTTTAAACATTGGGCTAAGGTACAAAGCATATGACACGTCTTCCAACTCTTCTAAATAAAGAAAACTCAAAGTCCGGATACTCACCAAAGGGAATCCCAAGACAAAAATCATGAATCTTTGCTGCCCTTTTCGGTTGACTGACAACTTGTTCTTTTGTGTGCTCGTTCATTGCTTCTCCTGCAACATGTTCTTGTGTAATGGGATGTGATTTTTCCATACATCCATTAAGTGATTTAGAGTCATATGCTGTGTAATGTGGAGCGGTCTTAGTCTCTGAGTTGGATACATCTGTGCTATGTCCATCAATGCTCCTAACAATAAATACCTAAAGACAAAAACATCTGAGGTTGACATCATTGTCAAGCGATTATAGCATACATATTCATTCACAGACAAGCATGTACATATAACATGTATAAATGCATAAGCACAAACTTGATAGGACAGAATGAGCTTGTAAAAAATTGTTTTACAATTTTAATGGATATGATCCATAGATCTCGAAATAAATTCAGAGGTAAATGTCATTTTGCAATGAAGGGAACCAAATTCAAAAAAACATTGAGGTCCAGTTAGACAGGAGAATTTAAGGACCAAGCGAATTTCTCAAGATACAACTCAGAATCGCCACATGTTTCCATTGAAACATCAAATCATGTCCATTTCAGAAAGATATGCAAGGAGGTGCGTGGAACCTAAAAGATTCTCCACAATAAACATTTATCAACCCTGACTAGAAACAATCACTCTGAACCATGGAAACTATTAGCACGAACAAGTGATTATAATCATAAAAATAGGTTTCCCTAAAATATATCCCTAAGGAGTCGCTCCTCCAGAATCAAGGAGCTCAATTATATCCAAAGTTATTACTTCTCCATTGCATTTCTGAAACAGTCCAAAGAAGTTTTCAAAAGTTTCCAACTTAGCTTAAAAGTTTCTTGGGTTCAAATCTCCAAACCACTCCGTGGCCTTAAAAGTGTGCAGTATCAGAGTAAATCCTAAAATGGTTTCATTTGATACACTGTCAGCTTACATCACCACCATTTAAGAATAGTAAAAATACTAATAGCAATTTTAAACTTTGACTGGAATTACTGTTTTATAATCAATGCATTTACAACCAAGGAATCATGTACACATCAAAATTTGTTCTATAATATAAATCACCTGGAAGTTTTTATACCATGACCCATTACTCGCTGCAAGCTTCACGAACCCGTGCATCGGCACATGGGGACTAAAAAATGTCAAGGCCGACACCGGTACTCTTCATCCACCCAGGGGTGGGGGGAAGGGACGGAAGGTCTGCGCTTTAGCCCAGGCCTCCCAAGCCCAATTAAAATTTATAAAGATATTTAAAAAAAGAAAAATGAAAAATCCCCCTGGCTCTGCCCCAGCATCCACTAACCAATACCAAACAAGTCTTTTACTTTCTTTTTCTTTTGAAGACAGACTTATAATGAAACGGATCATTCGATTAAAAATGAGATCATATAAAACAAACCCACCAACATGTACAGTAAAAGCATCAGTAAACTCTACAATTCAACTCCGACCAAATACCAAAAATCGAAAGGTTCAACTTTTCTTTTATGCTTTTTCCGCAAACCCAAAATAGAACATAGAACAAAATACTGAATATTAAACCCGAATCATGTTAAACTCAATTAAGCATACATACCCATAAACTTTCAACAAATTTCCGCTTATTTTCTCATTGAATCAACTACAAATAAATAAAACTCACGTTCCGGGAAGGAACAAACACAGGAAAAAAATAAAAATAAAAACTGTACCTTGTTAGAGCGGGCGTAGGATCTGGTTCGGATCCGTACACTGCGGTTAATGGAAGAGAAGCATGACAGCTGAGAAATCGCCGACGACATGATTTTCTTCTTCAATCTTTGTCTGGTTTTTCTGGGAATTGAATTGAAAGTGAAAGAGAGAAGAGGAGGAAGAAGCAAAATTGTCCCCCGTTCAACGAAAGAAAATTTTCTTACAATAATTAACAACGTGGTAAGCACGAGGCAAATTGGACTTGGACTGAATTTTGGGCGAATTACACTTTACACCCTCCAACTATGACTCATATGATTGCCCAGTAAAAAATTCGTAATCTCATAGTACAGAGTGTTCAATACTCTCCGTCACGATCTAACTTACATGTTTAATTTAATAATCCTTAATTGAGACCAAGACTATAATTAAATAATAGCGGAGAATATAAGTTTTGCGCTCCAAAATACTATAATTTTTCCCCATTTAAAGACATATAAGATACAAAGCATAATTACCTCGTGTTCGATAAAAAAATATTGAGATTATAAGTTGGTGAATCATATGAAATGTACAAGTGAGAAATGAAAAATAGTCATGAATCCAATAAAAATGTGTAACCTAAATAAAGTTTGACCAGTTTAAAATTCCAAAAGGCTTTCTCAAATAAGGGCTTAGCTCCCCAATTCATGTTGTATAAATAGGCCTTGTAAAGGGGTCGGCGGAAGACACAAGTAAATGTAATCGTATCCATTATGTAGATAATCGAAGTTTAGAATGTTTTTTTATTTTGGTTATTCAAAATGTCAAAAAGGTAGAGCGACACATGAAATATTACAAAAAATTGCCAAAATTTCAAAGATGTTATATGTGTGTGTGCATGAGCACGTGTGTATTAAGTAATGATGATGATCTCCTAAATGATTGTATACATATGTGTGGACGAGCACGTTCATTCACATTATACATCATTTCTAAAACTTTGCTTGCAAGATGTCATCTTAAAGCGAGGTTTTAAAACTCATCTTAAAAAAAAAAAATGTTGAACCCCAACTTTGAGGGCTCTCACCGCCTTGCTCCTAAAATTTTGTGAGGGAGGTAAATCGAGGAATGTGCCCCAACAGGCCAGGAAACAAAAGCTGCATGTACACTGCGCCTACAAGAAGTCCAATTTCATATCTCAGGAATCGAACCCCTATACTGCAGCTGCCAGCAAGACGTGAAATAACCTGACTCTTGTCCTTTACACCACTGGGCTATGCCTTGATTTTAAAACTCATCTTATTCTTATGACACGTTATGCATCCTTATCTATTGTCAAAGGGTTGAGCATCTTCAGTAAATTCATTAGTTGCAGTCGTATATAGCTTTGCGACAAACTACCAATTATTTTTATTCAATTATAATTATGAGGATTATTATACTTTTATTTAGAGTAACATGTCTTATTAGCTATCAGAAAACTACTTATTTTTTAGTATTGGATATAATAATTTTAAGTTATCACTTAAAAATTATGATTGTACGTGTGCTATTTTATATGCCATGTTAATTATAAACAAGCCACGCTCTCTTATAGCTCATTCTTGTATGTTCAAAAAATTAGAGGTATGTACTAGTCATGTAACAAAACATTGCAATGTTGGACCATTCTTCGGCCAAAAATAAAAGCTCAATTAACACATCCATACCTATAGCATTTATTCTTCCAGCTCATTGACCATCCTGCCTCTTGGTGGGGTGGGGGGGGGGGGTAAGAGAGATTTCTTATATCTAGCTTGAAATTCATTAAATGGACAAACAATAGTTCGCTTGGTGTTCGAGTGGGGAATGTAGTAGTTATTTCAACTTTCCTAGTCAAGTATGGTCGAAGTATAGAGTTTTAGTAATTCGACATATTTATAGTAATATGTAGTATTTTAAGTTTTTAATAATTTTGTCGAGTCGGTTTTATTTTTTGATATCGTATTTGATCAATTTAATTATTCTTTAAATTCTTATCAGATGTCATGGCAAAATTTAGCAAACGTTAAAATCAATATATTTGAAGTATGCGCAAAGGTAGACTTGTTTCTTTATTTAATGGTCGTTATACCCTCATCAACATGCAAGATTGAGTAGCATCTTGGATAGTTGAGTCAACATTTTGAAAAGTCTTTTAAATAAGTTTAATTTACTCTATGGTTGTTATAGTATAGTCAACGTGCAATATTATGTGACATCTTGAGTTGATATAGATAACATATTCAACATTTTGAAAAAGATGATTACCGCCTTAAATTTAATACTTGGTTAAATTAAGTAAATAATGACAACATGATCCTTCGACAAAAAACTCAAGCATTTTTGTTAGTTTCCTAAACTCAAAAAGGGTTTTCTACTAACACAACATCCAATAGGAAGAAAACTATTATGCAGAGAGCTCTCAATTAAGGTTAGAGAGAGATGCTCTCAACTCTAGTGAGAGAAACTCCCACTTTGAGTGCCTTGACTTGGATTGGTTTTTCTCTTGGGATTCTTCATGTATTTTAGTTTGATTTTAATCATTAATGGTGAAAATTGAATTATTACGTATTGATTCTGCTTATGGACTACTCTTTGTGAGTATTGGATTTCGTTTAGCTGCCATTTTCGTCTTCTACAAAGCTCCAAATTCAGGTACTGTTTTCGGCCAGGTTAGTTCCCTTCCTTTCGGTTTTGGGTTCATCGTCCCCTGCTGGTCGGCTGGGGCTAGTTTCTGGTCCTTTGGACCCCAGCTGGGTTCTATTCGGTTCAGCTTGGTGCATTGCTGTTCGGATTCTTATTGCTGCTGGAGTTTTCTGTTTTGCTGAGTTTGTTTTCTGGCCAGTTGGGGTTTAGTTTTCAGCATGCTGGATTTTTGAATCTTGTTTCTAGTTCAGTTGACACCCCCATTGGTGCTGCTTTTATTTGTTTGTGTTTCGTGCTGGGTGTTTCTTGCTTGCTGGTCGTACTTCATCCTCTCCATCTCCAGTTGGTTTTCTGTCCAGTTTTGGACATTTTTCTTGCTGGGTATTCAGGTCAGTTTTGGTTTTGCAAGGATTTCATTGCTGTTTCGTCCAGTTAGTTGTCTTGCAGTGTTGTATTCTTCTTCAGTGGACCGTGTTCTTGGTGTTCATGTTGGCTATGGAATTGTTTCACGCGGGTTCGTCGCTAACAATTAAAAAGGGATCAGATGATTGTGTAAGGGACAAACCTCTTGAAACAAAGTCTCAAAAATGGGTGTTCTTTATTGGCGATGACTTTACAATCGAAAAGTAAAAATAGAATGCCTCCAAGGGGCGCAAGCACACGAGTTACTGAAAGAAGTGTTTAAATCTAAAGTAAGAAATTTAAAATTACATGTTCTCTGTTCGAGAGTTTTTTGATTCGGGCCTTTTGCTCTATGTCTTTTCTTCCTTTTATACTCCCTGGATGATCTCTTTGTGATCAGCCGCCTAAAAACTGCTTGATCGTTCTATAACTGCCCACTTTCCTCGTAATGGCCAACTTGTCATGGAACTGCCTTTTCCAACTGCTGCCATTACTCTTTGTCGTTCAACCGTCTTCAATTGAATTCCTTGAATCGTGGAACGTGATAGGGCTGCTTTAATAACTGCTTTGATAACTGCGCTTCTTGATAACCACAACACTTCATGTTTGCTAAGACCTTGGGCGACTCGAAGATTTGGGCGAGAATAGAGTAGCAGTTCTGGGCGACTGCATGGCACTCCATTCGCTCAGATCCTGGGCGACTTGCAAGCTTGGGCGATGGTGTTACCGCGTTCATGGGCTTCCCTATTTGGGCCTTCATCCTGAATTGTCTGATTGGGTTTCGTTCTTTGGGCTATCTGATTTGGGGATCCTCCAATTGTGCTTCATTCCTTGGGCCGTTCGATTTGGGCTGAATTTTTATGTGTCTACAATTACCCCCCAATATGGCAGAATTAGTACCAATTATTAAATTTTGCCATATTCACTTTGTGTTTCGAGCAACATTCGAAATTCCCAAGAATTTCAATCATTGTTTTCTTCCATAGCTTGAAAAGGTGCGACATTTTGCAAACCCTTATAACCCCTAAATATGCAATTTCACTGCACTATTAAATTACGCCTCACTTTTTTCACGTTTCTCTCCCACAATTTACTATTCATCTATTTGCTTCCCTGCTACGTAACTCTGAAAAACTCCGTTTCGTCCCTAATGGCTACTTCACAATCTCAATTTGGTGACTCCTTTAGTTTTGATGACTATCAGAAACTCCTTAATCGTCCATACATAACTCCAAACTTTCTCGCACCTACCAATGTCGAACTCAATGAGTTCTACCTAGGTCCTTTCTTCAACAATGCAGAGGCAGTCGAACAAGCGATAGTGGGCCAACTGTTTCCTTGTACTCAAGGCCCTCCATTTCTAAACTCTCTGCCGCTGGGGCCACTTCGCGAAAGAGGTATTTGCACTTGGCCTAAATCTGATGTAGTTTTCCATAGGTGGCATGCTCGCCTTATGGACCATGGTCCTACTAAGGCACTTTTTGATAATGCTAGGATTTTTGATTTGTTAGAAATCTCTCTTCAACCCCTTACTTTTGATTCAGCACTTTTTTCGGTCGCTTTAAGTTTTTGGTCTTCCGAGTACAATACCTTTGTTTTCCCTCTTGGCCCCATGTCTATTACTTTAAGGGATGTTGGGGCCCTAGTGAATCTGCCACCTTTGGGCGATACCATTTTTCCTGGTATCTTGGTTTGTGGTGGCGCCCCAAAGTTTGGTAAAAACCTCACCGAGTCTTATTCAAGCCTGCAAACCCTTCATAACCACTCGAGCGCTGAACCTTCCCATACTGAGCGAGTGGCATTTCTTTTGGTTTGGCTTTGTAAACATATTTTATGTGTACCAAGGATAAAGCCTTCCCGGAACTATTTACCCATAGCACACGAATTGTCGCGTGGTAGGCCTCTGAATTTATGTTCTTTCTTTTTGGCTGCCCTCTATAGAGGCATGGCTTCTCTTCAATCTCAATTGAAGAATGGTGCATCTCCCACTGGCAGTGGACCTCTTTGGTTCACTCAAATGTGGTTGAGATCCTATTTTCCATCGCTTGGTGTTCCATCATTTTCTCGTCCTTCTGCTAGCTGCTATGGGCTAGCCATTGAGCCCCTGGCCCCTGTAAATATGTCTAGAAGGGACATTTTTTCATTCTTTTATTCTTTGGATTCAATCCCTTCTTTCTTTCCTTTTCCTCCCCTT